GCACCATTCGAGGCACTTTATGGCAGGGCTTGCAGAACACCGGTTTGTTGGGATGAAGTTGGTGAGAGGAGCATCACAGTCTGAGTTGGTTCGGCAATCGGTCGAAACTGATCAAGGTAATTCGGGATAGGCTTAAGACCGCTCAGAGCCGCCAAAAGAATTATGCGGACCGGAGACGTAGGCCTTTGGAATTTCAAGTGGGGGACCACGTTTTCCTCAAGGTATCGCCTATGAGAGGATTATCTCGGTTTGGTAAGAAAGGGAAGTTGAGCCCGAGGTACGTGGACCCATTCGAGGTCTTAGAGAGAATTGGTACCCTGGCCTATCGTCTCGCGCTACCACCAAATTTGTCTCAAGTGCACAACGTATTCCACGTGTCAATGTTAAGAAAGTATGAACCGGACCCGACCCACGTGCTGAACTACAAAGAGATAGACATGGACGACAGAGTGTCGTATGTGGAAAAGCCAGTTCGGATCGAGGACAGAATAGAAAGAGTGCTGCGGAATAAGAAAATTCCGATGGTCAAGGTGATTTGGGAGCACCATGGAACTGAAGGTGCGACGTGGGAAAGTGAAGAGTTGATGCGACACCAATACCCCCATTTGTTTGAATAGTTGGGTTGAATTGTAAATTTCGAGGACGAAATTTTTGTAAGGGGGGAAGAGTTGTGACATTCCGAATTTTGGCCCGTTTTTGGGATTTATAAAACGTGTAATCCGTCAGTGCGCTTATAATGGAATCTCGCCCGGGAACTGATCACTCTCGGGTTCTCGTTTTTAAAATAGAGATTTCGCTAGAATCGCACTCGATCGAATTTGGCCGTTATTTAGACCCCGAACTTGGTAGTCGATTTTCGGGAGTTTCAGGACGAAATAAATTGGACGGTATCAATATTATCGTAGCCAGCGTTGAGATTGTCAGCAATGATGGAAAAAGGGGAGTTTTTGACCAGGTGCAAATTTGGACTAGTAGACCTCCCTCGTTATAGTTTGATTTAATTGATTTGGCCTTTGTCCCTTATTATATTCGAGGTTTAATTTGGACCGATAAATCGTTGTCAGTTTTTATTATGGGCCGTTTAATCGCATTATTTATATGATTGAACATTTAAATTTTTCTCTCTCTCTCTTTCTCTCTCCTCTCTCTCCTCTGCCCGCGCACGCACTCCCCCTCCCCATTATCACGTCTGTCCTGCTCTCTCTCTCTCTCTCCCTCTCTCTCCCCTTATTCTTTCTCTCTCCCTCTCTCTTCCCTCTCTGGTCGCCGGACGCGCACGTTTTCCCCCCCTGCTTGCGTCCCATCTGCCCATACCTATGCGAGACCAACCCCCCGACACACTTCTTCTCTCTCCTCCCTTCTCTCTTCCTTCTTCTCCTTTCTTCTTCTTTCTTTTCCTTGTTCTTCGCCGTGCGTTCTAGCTACCTTGCCCATTTCTCTTCGCCCAGCCGACCGCCGCCCGAGCCCGCTTTGACCGCCGAGCGTCGCGCTCGCCCGTCTTCCTCGCGCCGTCGCCGCGCCGCGCCGTCGCCCGGGAAGCCCCGCCCCGACGCCGCCTCCCTTCCTTCCCAGCGCGCGAGCTCGGCTCGCCATTGCTTTAATCTCGGCCCGTCGGCTTGCCCAGCCGGCCGCCTTGCAACGCTTCTGCCGTCCGGCTCGCCGCCCGCGGGCTCGGCCCGTCGCCTTCGCCGCTCGTTTGTTCGCGCACCTGGGAGCTCGCCGATCTGAGCTCGTCCGTTCCGTGCCGTCCACCGCCCGGCTGCTGCGAGTCGCCGCCGCGTCGCCCCAGCCGTCCCTGTTGCTGCTCGCCGGCCGGGCTCCTCCATCGCTAGGCCTTGCAGCCGGCCAGCTCACCGCCGGTCCGCCATCTCTCCCCCTCAACCCCGATCCCTCTCTCCCTCACCCTCACCCTCACCCCCCCCCCCGCCCCCCGGCTCACTCTCTTTCTCCCCTGTTCAGCTCATCGCCGCCGCCGCTGCTCGCCGGTTGCCGCCCGCCAGCCAACCAGCCCCGACCAGCCCGGTCCCAGGCCGTAGCCGGCTCGTCGCCCACGCGACCAAGCCGCGCGCCCGTCGCCGTGCCCGTTCCCGCGCCCGTGCTCGTGCTTGTGCCCGTGGCCGAGGGCCGTGCCCATGGCCGAGTGCCGTGGCCGAGCTCGCCGGCGCCGTGCCCGTCCGACCAGGCGCGTCGCCGTCCGTTCGCCCCGTGCGCCCCTTGCACGCCGCACGGCCATCGCGCCAGCGCGCCAGGCACGCCGATCGGCCATTGTGCCCGCGTTGGCCGGCCACCGCGCCCGTTGGCCCGCGCCCGCGCCTAGTTCGGCACTGTTCACCCGGGCAATTTTAGGCCCGAGCCGACTTTACCCGGGCCAAACTTAGTTAAGTGACTTCCTAAATCCTACCTAGTACTTTGGGTATTTTTAGACTTGTCTAGGGTGAAATTTAGTATCGGCTTAGGACTTTAATTAGGCGTGGGTTAATTAGACTGATTGTGCTTAATTGGTGAATTATTGTGGCGATCATTGTGCGGCTGATTTAGTGATTGACTGAGATAAATACGCCTGACCGAATTGTCGTGGCGCTTGTGGGTGAATTGGATTATTTGAATGTGCCGACATGAATGTCGGATCGGTGGACTGATGTGGGGAGTGTGAATTAAATTGGTTGTTAGAGTGTGTCAGATTGACATTGGTGTGAGCTTGGTAATTTGATTGTGAAATGTACGACGTGTTAGATGACAGATTGTGTGGTGGTGCATGTGCATGAGAGAAATGTCCTGAGGCGTGGTTACGCGGGACTGAGCCCGGCTTGATCTGAGGGCTGCCAACCTGAGGCGTGGTTACGCGGGTGTGGCTAGAAAGGCAAGTAATGACCTGAGGCGTGGTTACGCGGGTCGAGAGAAATGTCCTGAGGCGTGGTTACACGGGACTGAGCCCGGCTTGATCTGAGGGCTGCCAACCTGAGGCGTGGTTACGCGGGTGTGGCTAGAAAGGCAAGTAATGACCTGAGGCGTGGTTACGCGGGTCGAGAGAAATGTCCTGAGGCGTGGTTACGCGGGACTGAGCCCGGCTTGATCTGAGGGCTGGCCTGAGGCGTGTTGACGCGGGCCGTGTGAAAGGACCTGGGAGGTCGTGAGAAAGTTGCTCGGCCACGCATGCGAATTGAGTGTGATTGAACTGACTGGTTGAATTAGTTGGAGTGATTGAGTGAAAGCATGGTTGGTGTTTGAGCGATTTGTGATGCGTTATTTAATTACTATTATTGCCTTATCACGTGACGACTAACGTGTAGAGTTGGCATGGGCTTGATGACGAGGTAAGTACAATGATGTGAATTTTATATGTTATGGGGTAGATTGCATGTCTGACTTGTCTGGGTACGCATTGGCCTACGTGGGGTTTAGGGGGTTGCTTATTGAGACTCGTTCTCACGGTTATTATATAACCATTTCAGATCCGCGACCGTAATCGATTCGGAGACGCCGCCAGAGCACCACAGAGATTGAAGAATAGATCATTTACCCTGTCTTTTGAGTACCTTTTGTAGAGGAGATAAGCTTGTCAACCACCGCCCCCTTTTGAAAACTGTGGTTCTAAATTGGTAGCCCGAGTTATCGTTTTGTATAGTGACTACTTTATGATGGTATGCAATTATTGTTTCGTACTATCCCTTTGTCATTGTGTATTGTCTGGGTTAATTAGTTTCGCTTCCGCTTGCCTTAATGATTGGGTGTTTCGTTTGGGTCGGCGATGCGTCCTGGGACGTCGCGTTCAATGATCGACCATCGAGGGATGACCGCGCGCTCGTAGGGTGCGGGGCGTGACAGAATCTCTCTGTAAACACTATTTTTAGTAGCTCAAAGACAGACTAAAAACAGATCACTGGAACAGAATTCGTGTTTCTCAAAGTAAGCTCTGTCCAGAATCCAAATCATCTTATAAAATTCCCAAATTTATACACGTTATAGAAAAGGAAGTTCTCAACAACTTTCGTGAAGGAAACTTTTCCAAAATCGGCCCAGAAAAGCTTGTAGAAAATAAATACGGTGTGAACATCACCGAAATACCCATTCTAGGCAGTTTCACACGGTCCGAAAATCAGTCCATCGTACCACTCATAGCAACTCCAAAAATTCTGAAATTAAAGTATGTAAAACTTCAAGATGTTTGGAATAACTTTCAAGAAGGAAGTATTCTGAAATTCGGATCACAAAAGTCTCCCCAAAAATAACAAAAAGAAGGGATACAAAGGATCCGAAACTGGGTTTTCCAAAACAAGAGAAAACAATTTAGTTCCGATTGGAAAACCATCAAACTTAAACCATAGCCAACTCCCAGGGACTAAAATTGAGGATAATACAATTTACCTGCGGCTTCCCAGGCCCAAATCGGGATGTGACAATTCTCCCCCTCTAATAAAATTTCGTCCTCGAAATTTAAAACGTACCTGGGATTTAACTTACCTTTCCTTTCGAAGTGTGACGCACCCCTCATTAGTGACACCTTTGGAAAGACATAGTCGCCTACCTGAAACTTAAGCGATTTCTGGCCCTTGTCAGCCTAATTCTTTTACCGACTTGTGCCGTCCTAAGTTTTTCTCTACTTATTTGGACAGCATCTAAGGTGAGTGGGACTAGCTCTGGACCCCTGACCTTCTTTTCCCGACCTCGTTCCAATAGACCGGAGTTCTGCAAGCTCGACCGTATAATGCCTCGAATGGTGCCATCTTGATGCTTTGCTGATAACCGTTATTACAGTTGGATTCTACCTTCCTTTCTAAAGGTAGCCTTGTTTAGCTTTTTCGGAAAACGTCGAAAATTTTTCTTTATGGAGCATCTTCTAGCTTTGGCTTCCCACGCTTCCGCTGCGCCACTCTGATTTATCTTTTACCATCCTTAAATATTTCTTATGCTTGCTTGCTTGGTTTTTTTTTATACATTGAAACGTCGTACATAAATACTATGATAAAACAATACAAGTACAGTTCCGATCACCCGATTTATCAAGTCTCCGTAATAACATTCTTGGAGTTTTCCGCTTCCTCTTGAGTAATTGCATAAATCCTTCCTTGAGCTGGAGGACGATTATCATGCGATGGAACTTCTTTTTGTTGCATCACCAGTGGTTGTTGTGACTGCTTCACTTGCTGTCGTTGCGGGCAGTCCTTTATGCGGTGGCCTTGTTGACCACAGCCGAAACATGCTCCCGTTTGTTTTGGACACGGAGCATTTCCATGAAACCTTCCGCAAGTATGGCACGCATCGCCTGCAGTGGAAATTGGCTTCTGATTTTTTATCTTCTTGTTGGGAGTGGAGAAATGGTTTTCTCCCGACATCGGTCTCTTGTCATGATGCTGGTTGGATTGAGAAGCCGGATGATAAGGCTTTCCTTGGTTAGTCGCCGTGGCAGCTCGTTCCAGGGACTCTTTCTCCACCAGCTGCGCGCGTTCATACAGCTCGTTGTAATCCTTGAGGTTCAGCGGCACCAACTGTCTCCGGATGTCTGGTTTCAAACCGTCTCGGAATCTTTTTGCCCTTTCCACTGGATCTTCAATAAGTTTAAGGGCATACCTTGACAGTTGAGCGAACCTTGCTTCGTACTGGTCCACCGTCATGTTGTTCTGTTGAAGTTGCAAGAATTCCTTCATCTTTCGGTCGCGAGCACATTCGGAAAAATACTTTCCGTTGAATGCTTCAATGAAAGCATTCCAGTTGACAGCAGCATTTTCTGGGAACACGATTTCCTTGGTCGCTTTCCACCAATAGCTGGCATTACCTTGCAGTTGATAGCCTGCTAAGGTAACTTTCTCTTCCTCGGAACATCTCAAAAGCTCAAATGCCTTCTGGAGTTCATCGATCCAGGACTCCGCTTCTTCGGGATCTCCAGTTCCGACAAACTTTGGGGGTTGGAGCTTCAGGAATTGCTCGACCAATCTGTGCATCGTACGGCCACCATTTCCATTTCCATTTGCTGCCACATTCTCAGCATTAGGCATTCGTTGTTGGGCCTGCTGTCCCAACAGTTCTCCTACGGTCGCCAGAGCCTGCAGAATTCCGTCTATTCGGGGGTCTTGATTTGACTTCCCCTTCGAGGTCGAGGTCGCAGTCGGGTTCCGAGCACTCATATTGGTATTCTAAGGGGTCTTTCTACAACACAAGAATAGGTCAGTGGTCACAAACAAATATTAGCACACAACCTATTCAACCACAATCAATCATTCACATGCGCAGGGGTGTTTCCTAGCTAACTACCCCAACTTCAGCGCACCTTATCACTCCAGGTCTTTATTTTCGCTTGGATTTTAGAATCGTTCTCCCCCATTCAGTGCATAGTTCGGTTTCTTCCTCTCTTACCCATCATCCTAGAAGCTTGCCAGGAGCCGCTCTTTGTTCAGGTCTTCAACCCCGGCGATCACTCTTGCTAGAAGCCGCACCTTGATCAGGCCTCATGCCCCGGCGTCCACTTCCTAGCCAAGAGCCGCTCCTTGATCAGGTTCTACCTCGGCGACCACTCCCCGCCCTCATTGGATCGGGTCCTTTCAGGATTCCACAGCCTCTTCTTGGCTCAACACCGAACTTGCACTTACTGGAGGGGAACCTGCTCTGATACCAAATTAGACTGTGACGCCCCGACCTCGGGGTCATTAACGTGACGTCCCGTTCATTATTATCTTTCATAATACACAAGCGGAAGCATTTCTCGAGATAATCACGTTAAAAACAACAGCGGGATTAAGAAAAACAGCATCATGAGCAAACCTTATGTTCACAGTGCATGCAAACATGTTTTAACAAGCCCTTCGGGCCATGGCAAATAACACGTTTTTCATAGCCGACTACAAATGGCAAAACTTGACTTGGGTTATCCTATACCCACTATGGCTTCTCACTACTCGCTTCTTCACCTCCACCCCGGTCCCGTCCGCCTGGCCATCTCACATCCCACCCGTGGCTTTATCCCGGAGCCGGCCCGCCCTGAGGCACCAAGTCCGTTAGGCCCTCATCGAACGTCTCAAGCGTCGTGATTCGACGGTAGGCGCGTTCTTTACTGACATCTATCACGGTGAGCACTTCGGCTCTCTGCTCCACGGGATTGCCAACGCGGGCTGGGGGAGACGCCATCCTACGGACCTGAAAAAGGGGAAAACAACGGGGGATGAGTCGGGGAGACTCAGCAAGTAAACCTACTAATATCAAGCGAGGACGAGGGGATCGCCATTAGCACAAGTCAGCCGTTACCGCACCCGCATCAATGGCAGATCAATAGCAAAGTTCATACAAGAGAACATCAAGCATGGCTATAACATGTGCACCTTGCCATCCAAGTCTCGGTTCTATCTCCAAAACAAACGTCAAACATGAAACATGATTAAATCGAGAAATGAACCAACCACAACCAACCAAATGACCGAGAAACGGTCCAAGCAAACCGTGTCACAACGTATCACAACTTCCTTTCCCGATATTAGGAAGTTTACTTACTCTTAACGAAACCAGAACTAGAGAGTAAAAAATGGATGGGAAAGACGACGGCCTCGGGATCTCGGCAACTCACGGTGTCGACCCCTTTCTTTTCTTTCCCTTGACTTTCTCTCTCTCGGTTTTCTCTCTCTTTCTTTCTCTTTCTCTCTCTATTTCGGCTCTTTCTCTCTCTCCCTATCCCGGCACTCTCTCTCTCTCTCTCTCTTGCCGCTTTGTGTGTGTGAGAGTGGGTGTGTCATTTTCTTCCTAATGGCTTCTATTTATAGAGGAATTGGCTTGGCTAAGAAGTCAATGATGTAAGCGCACGTGTCACGTGGGGGTGTGAGGTAAGCGTACGCATCATCAAAGTACGTGGTAAGCGCACGTGTCATCCAAAAAGTCATAATGGCCCATTTATTCTTCCTTTCTCTCTCCTCACTCATTGGCCGTGACTTCCTCTCTCTCTCCCCCCTTCCTTGCCGTGGCCTCCTCTTTCCTCTTGGCCAATACTTGATGACCAAGCTTCATAATTGGCTTCATAAATGCTTGTGGAAAAAGAAGACCAAGCATTAATTACAAGCAATAATGAAGGGGATAAGGTTTGACTTTGTCAAACTTTCTAGGGTCTTCTCCAATCAAAGTATAAAATATCTCATTTGAAAGCTCAGAACGTGTACTTTAAATCACCAGAAGACACCAAGTCCAAATTCCAACGTTCTCGTATAGAAAATGCCGAATCTTTGAAATCTGACAAAACCGGACAGTTTTGCACTGTTTACGAAATTGGACTTAAGAACATAGTAAATGAACTCCGAAAATTCTCAAATTCGGATATGTCATAAACAAGATCTTAACAAACATTTTTTATGAGAATACTAAATCTGAATCTCTCTTTAAACACTATTTTTAGTAGCTCAAAGACAGACTAAAAACAGATCACTGGAACAGAATTCGTGTTTCTCAAAGTAAGCTCTGTCCAGAATCCAAATCATCTTATAAAATTCCCAAATTTATACACTTTATAGAAAAGGAAGTTCTCAACAACTTTCTTAAAGGAAACTTTTCCAAAATCGGCCCAGAAAAGCTTGTAGAAAATAAATACGGTGTGAACATCACCGAAATACCCATTCTGGGCAGTTTCACACGGTCCGAAAATCAGTCCATCGTACCACTCATATCAACTCCAAAAATTCTGAAATTAAAGTATGTAAAACTTCAAGATGTTTGGAATAACTTTCAAGAAGGAAGTATTCTGAAATTCGGATCACAAAAGTCTCCCCAAAAATAACAAAAATAAGGGATACAAAGGATCCGAAACTGGGTTTTCCAAAACAAGAGAAAACAATTTAGTTCCGATTGGAAAACCATCAAACTTAAACCATAGCCAACTCCCAGGGACTAAAATTGAGGATAATACAATTTACCTGCGGCTTCCCAGGCCCAAATCGGGATGTGACACGGGTGGTGGCGGACGGAGCAGCAGCAGCGACCGGAATGGCGGCGTGCGGCGGCTGGCCGAGGCGGCGCCGGGAAGAGCCCAAAACAAGGGAGGCGTCGGGGAGGATGAAAAACAGGGGAAGGGGAGGTGGTGGCGGCCGAGGGGGAACGGCAGGTCGGCGGAGGTGGCTGAGGGAAGAGACTGGGAGGCAGAGGCGGAGCGGCGGCGGCACGCGGCGGCGGCGAAGCCTGGAGCCCAAACAGGGGAAAGCACCGGGGAAGAGAGAAACAGGGGAAGAGGAGGTCACGCGGTGGCCGAAGGCGGCACGGCGGTGTCTCGGGTGGCCGGGCGACGGAGGACAAGCCGGCGGACGGCTAGATGACGTCGGACCGCGGCGGATGCGGCGCGAAGCTGCTTTGCTCGTGTGCAACGCGGCGGACCGGGGACAGCGCGCAGGCCGGTGAGCGGCGGTCGCGGCGGCGTGCAGCGGCGCGCGGCTCGAGTCGGGCGACGGCGGCGCGAGGCGAACGGCGAACTGGTGGCTGTGCTTGGTCCCGGTGAGCAGCAAGCAGAAGGCCAGAGCAGTCGCGACCGGAAGAGAAGACCCATGGAGAAGAAGAAGAAGAGAGGAAGAAAAGAAAAGAAGAAGAAAGAAAGAAAAGGAAGAGAGAGAGAGAGAGAGGAGTGGATGGATCTGACAAGGGGGGACAGACGTGTGAAGGGGGGAAAGTGACCGGAGAGAGAGAAAGAGAGAGAGAAAGAGAGAGAAAGAGAGAGAGAGACGCGAAATAAATAAATAAAGATTCAAATAATAATTGCGATCCGATGGCCCATATTTAAAACTGAAAACGATCTAAAGGTCCAAATTAATCCTAGAATATAATAAGGGACAAAAGCCAAATTAATTAAATCAAACTACCACGAGGGAGGTCTACTAGTCCAAATTCGCACCCGGTCAAAAATCCACTTTTCACATATTTCAAGCAATCTCGAGGCCGACCACAATAATATCGACACCGTCCAATTAAATTCGTCCCGAAACTCCGAGAAATTCGACACCAAAGTTTGGGCTCTAAATAACGGCAAAATTCAATCGAATGCGATTCTAGCGAAATCTCAAATTTAAAACAATAACCGGGAGTGATCAGTTCCCGGGCGAGATTTTACTATAAGCACATTGACGAATTACACGTTTTATAAATCCCAAAAATGGGCCGAAATTCAGAATGTCACACTAGCCATGGCAAGGACGAACCTCGCCAGGGGCGGGCGAGGCCGAGCCTCGCTAGCCATGGCGAGGACGAACCTCGCCAGGGGCGGGCGAGGCCGACCTCGCCCAACGCCGGCGAGGTCGAGCCTCGCCGGCCAGAAGTTGAAGGTGAAGGGGAAAAAAAAAAGAAAAGGAAAGGAAAAAGAAAAGAAAAGAAAAAATCAAAAAATTCGAAAAAATAAAAAATATTATTAAAATAATTATTAACGATAATATTGGACGGAAAAGTTAACGGTGATAGATTTGGGACAAAAGTAAAAGTTTGGGGTTTTTTATGAGACAAAAAAAGTTTAGGATATAATTGGGACAAAGGCTAAAGTTTGGGGTTTTTTTGGGCATTAGGCCAATTAAAACTGAAAAGTTTAGGACTAAATTGATCGCCATTAAATAGTTTATGACTTTTTAGACAATTGTCTCTCAAAAACTGTCTAGTATTATAACACAATCTCTTGAAGACCCTTGAATTTATTTATTTTCGTATAAAAAGTGTTCTCCATGAGTCAGCATGTCGTTATGTCCGCCATAAAAAATGCTTAAACTGCAATTTTTACTATGAAATTTATAAATAAATTAAATAACGATCAATTTTAAATAGGGAAAAAGCCACAAAAACTCTCAAATTATATCTACTATGACACATCTAGATCGAACTTTGTTTTGGGACATCAAAAATCTTAAAACTATGTCCACTATAATATATTTACCCTAAACTTTTTATTGTGATGTCAAAAACCCCAAACTTGCACCCATATGATACATTTACACTCCATCAAAATTCCGTCGAATGATTTTCCAGGCAAAATGACAACATTTTTGTTTCACTTATGTCACGTGAGCGCCATGTCAATACCGGTTGCCTTTCATCGTCTATATAGACAATTTTTTAGCGATATTTTTTGACGGAACGTTAATGAAGGCTAAAGGTCATTCACTATCGATTGCAAATATCACAAAAATTGCGTGTAGCAACTGTTTATGGGAGACACACCCCCTAAATAAGCAAAAACTAATGACCCAAAATGCGGCCGCGCCTAATTAATAGGGCGTCGCTAATACTACAAAATCAATATAAGTTTGGTTAGGGTGGCTTGGAATTATAGGACACGTCTCACGTTCAACTAGACCGCACCAACTCCCTTTCCCTATACGTGGTCTCCTGCGTTACAAATAGAAAATCTGCTTTTGATATGGACTTAATGATGGTTGTTGTTTATTAAGGCTGAGAAATCATAATCACAACGCAAGTCGTTGTAAATGAATTGAGCTCTAGGTGGAGCTTCCATTATTAATTCGTTGAATGAAGGGGTCCTATACCTAAGTCACAATCTTAATGGGACAGATCTAGGACAATCGTTCTTGTCAATTTAGTGAAATTACATCTACTAATGATAAAGTCAGATTTTATCAAAACTTTCAAATCTCTCACAAAAGAACTCAAAGTTTGGCTTCCAACCCAAAAAGTCCTCCCTCTTTTAGCTTCCATCTATAGTAGTTGT